AATTGGAGATCGACCTCTAAACGTGTAATAGTTTCGTTAGGTTGAAAAATATTTACCAGTAACTTCCAGTAAACAATGGAAACGACGCACCACCAGCTGTGAGTGTCGGTACAGTTGCCAGGGCAGATCTCTTGCGTCATCATAGCAAGCCCAAAGTAGCCAAATGCATGGTATGGTAGCACAGGACGATGTAAAACATAAAGTATTCATTTGTTTGGCCTTAAAACAATTATTTCTTTCACCTGAATTGTATATAGGTAGGTGTGTGTGTGTGTGTGTGTGTGTGTGTGTAGACACACACACACAAAACACATACAAATAAGTAATAATGCTTTGTTATTAAAAAAGCACGAGGAGACTTGCGGGTAGATTCAACATTTTTAACACTACATTTGTTTCTGATTATTTGTGAGAGGATTTTCCCATTATTATTTATTTGTATGTGTTTTGTGTGTGTGTGTGTCTACACACACACACACATATATACAATACAGGTAAAGGAAATTACTGTCTCTAGAATGAATGGCTCCCTGTCCCAGCTGCAAAAATGCCGACAACTTTAAAATTACCCGCAGACATTCTTAGGTACATCCAGGGTGTCACCTGCGAATAATAGAGGACAGCGAATTATCCGGGCGTACTGTACTAAAATATTTGTCTAGAGCAAACTATGAGATGTTTGTACTCAAATTAATCAGTATCTTACAAGAATCCCAGCAATGTAAGTTATATTCTGCCAAGTAAATTCAGTGACATTTTATAAGCGAAAACTTGAACTCCCTCTATACGAATGATAAATACGCACTAGGTAACCTTCGCCGCCCGGCTGTCAAACCTCACCTCCCCCATCCTCCAAGCCCGGGTGAAGGTGGTTTTAGGCTTAAAGTTTTTATCTTATAAAATGTAGCTGACTAGACATAGCAGAATATAACTTGCATTGATGGAATCCTTGTAAGATAATGATTAATTTGAGTATAAGTATCACATAATTTGCACTGGAGATAAAATTTTTAGTTCTTTAGTGTAGTACATTTGAGTACAAAGTTTGTACAGTAATATTATGTTGCTAAAAATTATGGCTTTTTCACATTTAATTTACATTTAACATTTGTTTAATTTTAGTTTCTAGCAGTCCATGGTGCTTTAGAGACATGGGAGGTGTATAATTAGAGGGTCAGAGGTGTATTGTTGAATTATTATTACCTGACCTCGGTTGGTCCGGCATAACAGATACCGTATATCACGGCCTATAAGACGGAATTTGAACCTTAAAAAAATCAGCCCAAAATTAGGGGTCGTCTTAAATACCAGGTATAAAATTCTTACCTCTTACATATTGTGGTTTAGCGTGTCAAGAGTGGCAATGGAGAACATCGTAAAACACTCAAACGGTCCTATCACTAATTATTTTATACTGAAACTTACGTTTGGGAAGCTGGATTAAAAATAAGATTACCGTTATATTAAATTAATAAAAATGTATTATAAACCTGTCTAACATGCCGTAAAATAACAACATACCCCAGTAATAAACGCAGCTATCATCACGCACCATTTGCCAGTGATGAGACAAAACAGGGAGAGTGGTTTTTTTTTACATCCAGCGCTCGCTGTTACTACACACTTTTAGGGGTCATTTTCCAGCTTGCCTTTGTGTCAGAGTTGGCCAATAATACATTTCTTTACTGATCATAATACGTATTTCCCATAAATAATTCATTTAGACATTATTTTATTTGCATTACTCTTCATAAGAAGTTCTCAGCGACACCCACGCAGACTGTCGTCAGGCTTTACCTTGGGAGACCACGTAAGTTTTACAAATAATTATCGGAATAATAATTCCACAAATAAATATATTTATAACACAATCATAGCATTACCGGGATTATCTTTTTTTTTAAACAGGGATTAGCCCACCCGGGCACAAGTCACTGACCCACATCGGGGTCTGGGGGGCAAAAATGTAATAATACTGTAATAATAATACAGTAAAAGTCCAAAAATCCGGATGCCAAAAATCCGGACCACCCGAGAATCCGGACTTTTGGAAAACTAATTATTATTATTTTTTTTTTTTAGCGGGCTTTTGTGTGTATGTGCGCATGCGTGAGCGCCACAGCTGCACAGCGACAACAAGCGACCACGTGGTCTCCACTTTAAAACGAGCAATCAAACTGTGACAACATACCGTATATACTCATCTATAAACCCCCCCTCGTTTATCTGTCGACCCTGATTTTTTGACCAAGAAATCGTTAATTTATGATATTCCTCGTTTATAGTTCGACCCACGTTTTTGAGGGTAAGGGAACAACAAAACCTTCAGTAAAAACGCTCTACGTCCTATAAACTGAAACACGAGTGCCCAAGGCAAATTGTTTACCATTTATTATTACAACACTTTACACTGAAACGCGGGTAGTTTCAACAAAAATATTGTATATTTCCATTCAAGTATTTATTCAAGTCAATTAGGAGGGAATATTATTGTAATACAACAGTTTTTTAACTAAACCATTCGAAAAGTGATTACGGTAACATCTTTTGAACGAAAGAAAGCGAAAGTCATTGTTTTCGTCACGATTTTATCCCACTTTCCACTTTAATACGTACGTCATTTCAGCAAAAATATTACATTTCCGTGAATGTATTATATCAAGCACAGTATGAATAGAATATCATTGTAATATAACAGAATTTTAACCGAAAACTATTAAAAAAACGAGTAACATCTCAAGAACATCGGAAGCTTAGGTAAAGTCTTTTGTTTTCGACATGTATTTTATCCTATTTTACATTGAAATACATCACGTTTCAGCAAAACTACTATTTATTTCCGAGAATATATTCATTCAGGCGCAGTTTAGGTAAAATATACGTGTGATGTAATAGTTTTTTAACTGAAAACGATTCGAAAAACACGTACCCTCTAGCCCTGTTCAAGGAGAGGACTGGGAGAAGCTGTTTGGTGCTGCAGACGATGACAAAGAAAATGATTTTGATGGATTTTAATGAAAATATTCAGAAATATGGTATCGTAATATTTATTCAAGTCAATTAGGATATTATTGTAATACAATACAACAGTTTTTTAACTAAACCATTCGAAAAGTGATTACGGTAACATCTTTTGAACGAAAGAAAGCGAAAGTCATTGTTTTCGTCACGATTTGATCCCACTTTCCACTGTAATAAGTACGTCATTTCAGCAAAAATATTACATTTCCGTGAATGCATTATATCAAGCACAGTATGAATAGAACAATATTTTGAGTCTTACTCTTTCCATTTACAGACTACTGTACAAGCCCATAATAATGGCTCCTAAAGTAGATAAACTTCGTTGTGTGAAGAGAAAGAAGAACACGTTGAAATTGAGTGACAAACTTGAAATAATTAAGAAACTAGTACGTGGTGTGAGCAATACTGTTCTAATGGAAAATACAACATTGGAAAGTCTACAATTTATGATATCAAAAAGGCAAAGAATAAAATTCGAGAATTCACAGCTTTTTCATTAAAACTGCTCGTTTTGATAAATGAAGCATGCTATATTTGCTAATGAATAAACTATCAAAATGTACCTGTTCATCTCTTCTTTAGTCCTCCTTAAATTTTAATTTTAAAAGTACTGCCTGAGAATCCGGAAAATCCGAAAATCCGGACCAACCCAATCCCCAAGCAGTCCGGATTTTTGGACTTTTACTGTAATAATAATAATAATAATAATAATAATAATAATAATAATAATAATAATAATAATAATAATAATAATAATGATAATGATAATGATAATAATAATAATAATAATAATAATAATAAAAATTCATAGTAAATAAAATTTACAATAATAAATTCAAATTTTAAAATAAAATAGTAATAATAAAGAACCATAAATAAATACAAAAATGAAAAAAGATCAAAAGTGAGAAACAATATACTGTATGTATGTTGTGTTGTCAAAGTATGAGAAACAATTGAGACCCTGCAATTGTGTGTAAATGAGGCAGAAAGTCAGATCAGCAGCCTGGGACTTGGTCAAAATTTTTGTGATGCCATATAGAAGCAGGGTCTACCATTAGACAATACATTATGCTTTCAATATCTTCCCAGGTGGTAGTATCTCCTTGTTTGGTAGCTGCCTACTACCTACACAACTTTTAGTAATATTATTTTGATACAACATGATAAATTAGACAAACAATGAAAATAAACAAACAAAATTTAATTACCAAGACGCTTCCCATTGGTCGCTGTAAGAGGGGGAGATAGGGCTATTTTTAGCCCGTCTTTGTGTCCGAAGTGGCCAGTAATGCATACCGGTATATTTACTGATCATAATACTTATCTCCTATAAATAATTCATTAAAAATTAATCTTTTTTACAAAGAATATTCAGTAAATGACTGCGATAATTCTTGAAACTACCGACAGTGGTAGTTTTCTTCATGCTAAATTTAGGATGAGCATGAAGAAGCCGAAGTAACGTCATCTGATTTGGAGTTTGATCCTTAATGATGATGCAACCATAAATGTAGCAGGTAAACTTCACCTACCGGGTATAGCCTTCCTTTGTCGCGAAGCAAGTTTGTAAATTCAATAAAATACTTGCAGAGTGTTTAATATATTACAGTACTGTATATTATAAATAAACAAATTAATTGGTAAATCCATTTCAAGTAAATGGAAAAATTTTACTCGACACCGACATTAGTTCCAGTTAAATAACACCAAGGATGTGTAAACAGCACTGGTCAGTGGGATGGTTGGTAAAGGACTACTGGGTCAGTAAGCTCCCAATTGTAAGTGTCACATTTGGGGTACCGGTCTTATACAGCGAATAGAGCTCAAAAACCTACTTTTTTAAATGGAAATTTTGGGGGTCGTCTTATAAACCCCATAGCCTTGTAAGCCGAGATATACGGTAATCCGGCAAGGCTTTGGAACCAAGGGTGCCAGAAAATCGGTGGTGTACCTGTAATACATATTATACTTACGAAAGAAACAAGATCGACCTTGGTGTATAAACCTCGCTGTTTGGTCAGGAACTCAATGCAATTCGTAACGGCAGCTGATGATGCCAAACCATTCAAGTTAAGCTTCGAGACATCAAAGGATGACAGTTCCTCAGCAATCTTCTTGATAAACCTGGGTGGTGTTCTAATACCACTGGGGAAAATCATGCAAGCAAAGGCATGTATGCAGCTAACAATGCTTAAAAAAATTCCAGAGATCATCACGTCTACTCTTTCACTCCCTGGGTCATGTCCCAAAATAACCGTAAGAAACACTGGAGATGTGATAACAGCCAAGCCTCCATAACAGATTGCTGACATCAGGGCAGTACAAGCCATCTGAAAGGAAATAAAAAATGACTGTATAAAATATAATCAGATTATGTTCCTATTCACATTGTTTTACCTAACCAGCACTGAGATAATAGGGAACAAATTCTGACTAAAGTTGCCTCTTAAATTAATGTAATTTTATAAAAAATAAAATTTTGTTTGCTCCCACCACTACTTTGAGCAGAATTCAGTACAGTTATCACCTGATTTTGGGAAATTTCTTTAAAAGAAATTCACTACAACAAAAATTGTTAATGCAGTAATCTCCCTATTAGTTGGAATGATGCTATGTTTGCAGGTGTGCATATGTACAGTCCCCTTCACTAGTGCATTTATCGGGGCTCCTCAGGTTTTGTGCAGTGTGGCAGCGCTGTGTTTTTTTACATTTGAGTGAAGGAAACTAGCAATAGTAAACATACTATGGAATCAAATTGGCCTTCCGTCATCTGTCTCACTTTTTTTTCTTTACCACTAGTGGTCACTTCACACGTTTATATAAAATAACATTAATAAAGACATACCATATTTCACGCCATATAAGACGCACCCCCCATTTTAGCAGGGAGTATTTAGGACAAAACTTTTGTGTGGATTTTCCTCCTGTAGCCAAGGTTTCCTTAATATATACAGTACAGTACCAGTAAAGGTGAGGAATAAATAAAAATAATACCATTAAATAAGTTACAACAAAAAGCACTGTACTGGATTGTCAGACCGATAAATAAAGGCCAAATGGAAGTTTAACACAGTTGCCATTTGCATATACTCCCTGGTTCATCACCGTAGCAATGAAGACGCCCTCCCCACACGCCTCGCCTCCTTTCGCTCTCCCACTGAGCCAGCCAACTTGTGTGCAAAGAAATGTTTATTCCCTTTACGAGTTTGCCCTTAGGACAATTATTTTTTTTAATTTTCTCACAATAAAACCTCGATAAATCGGACTTCAATATATCGGAATTCACTTTTATCGGACTCTGAGGTGCTTTGGTCACCAGAAGTACTAAAATAAATTTTTTTTATAAAATAAGTACTGTTTATGTTTTAAGAAATGGGGGAAGACTAATAAGAAAATCTTATGAGAAGAACAACACTTACTCACTGAATATGGTACAGTGGTCTAATCAGATTTTCTATTGGCCTACCAAAACTAGTATGTAAACAGGCTGGGGCTGATCAGGTGTTGCCACATTCGTCAGGTTTATTTACTTATTGATTCAGTATTATATTCTCATATGATTGGCCTTTTACGGTATATGGTTCATCGTGATTAATAGAACATCTTCAGTAATAAAGAAAAAATACAATATGTAATTGTAATATAATTTGAAAATACAAGAATACACTGTATCTATCCTGAATTGGTTGATATCAGGACAAGAAATATTTACATTATGTTATACATATTAAATAAACAGTCAAAATGGGTGATTACCTTAAGTGGCAATGTCGGAGTTTATTACAACAAACTAAGTAAAAAGTATAGTTTTTTTTATGTGGAATACCCCACCTGGGCTTGTGAGGCAAAAAAATAAGAGTAAAAAGAAATTAAAAATAGAAGAGAAAAAGGCTAAATTAATATACACCACGAAGATGCCAGAAAATCAGCTTTTTGAAGTGACACACATTGTAAAAATGTGGAAATACAGAAGAAAGCAGCGCATTCCATAGTTTGGCTGTGTGAGGAAAGAAGTACGTACTATAACACAGAAATGGTGGGCATCGCAGGCAAGACAAGTGTTATGAGCCCATGGCCTTGCCGGGGGTACACAGGATGCCAAATCTACCAAACATTGCCCGTTAAAGTACCTGAAAAAGAGAGAGAGTGAAGCAACATTGAGACAAAGAGAAAGGGAAGAGAGATTATCAACTAAAGGTGGAGAGTTAATAAGATGAAATGCCTTTGATTTCACCTTATCTAATAGATGGACAGAAGAAGAGCCACACCAGATATGAGAGCAGTACTCCAAGTTAGGAGGAATGAATCCCTTATAAACTTGAAGCAATTGCTCAGGAGTGAAGTAACTACGGAATCTGTACAGCATTCCAAGCTTTCAGGAGGCAGCTTTAGCAATGTTGTGGATGTGTGGCTTCCATGACATAAGAGGAAATGGTGAGGCTTAGCATATCTATTATAGAATTTGGCAGAATGATTGCATCCTGAAATGTGATTGGTGGGAGACCTTTTATTTTGAAGTGTAATTGGTAAAAACTGTGTTTTATTGCTATTGAAGTTAAACCAAGTTTCTACCTCCCCATTCGGAGATGCTGCACAGATGCGCATTGATAGATGAAAAGATATCAGCTCGAGAGATGGCTCTAGTTTGAGAATTAGAGGGAAGGGAAAAATGTGAAGAAGAGTGAAGAGAAGAAAAATCAGCATAAGAATAGGTAGAATTAGACGTAGTGTGAAGTAAATCATTGAGAGAATACTAGGTGAAAGAACACAATCCTGAAGGACACCACTATTGGTAGAAAAAGAGCGAGAGATCGATCCTTCGACAGCAACTCTTATTGATCGGTTCTCAAGGAAGCTAGAAATTAGAGAACAAAGTGGAGAGAAACCATAAGAGGGAAGTTTAGAAAGCAATGATTTGTCTAATGCTTTGGAGATGTCGAGGACCACAACTAAAGTTTCCCCATAATCCCTAAGAGAGGATGACCAAAGATGGGTGCAGTAGGAGAGCAGATCACCAGTAGATCTTGCCTGGCGAAAGCCATACTGGTGATCCGACAAAAGAGAAAGGCGTTCAAGGTCACGGATGAAATGAGAGTTTAACACACCATATTTCTCGGCATATAAGCTGAGGTTGTAAGCCCCCCAAAATTCCCCAAAATCATGGGGTCGGCTTATACAGCAGATCAAGATCATGAACCTTAAAAATTTCTGGTGCATAGCAGCGAGACACACTATTTACTACTCACAAACTTCAATGTGACTGCCCAGTCAGTTGTTATTCTCTTTCTGAGAACACATATATAAAACAACTTTGAAATACAACTTTGTTATTATAAAGAAATTAACTGAAATGGCCAAAAATACTAAAATAATAGAAATACTACAACAGCGACATGACACGACTGTTGTTTACAACTCACTATTACTAGCATGGTGCAGCGCTGCCGTTTATTCCTCAACTCTATGACGTCATTTTCCTCACGTTTTCGTTGGGTATTAATGGACATTAAAAAGCATGAATTTTATGTATAACTATTGTAATGTCTTGGAAAAATATAAATATCCACATACAAAAACCATACAATCATATAATATTATAACATAACATAGGAACCTTAAACATTAATTGAACAAAAAATATCAAATACAGTCATGCGCCGGTTAACGTCCAACCGAACAACGTCCGATCACATATATGTCCGTGCCCCCCCCCCAAAAAAAAAGAAAAGAAAAAGTGACGCCTGTTGCACCACCACTCCACGACCCCCTGACGGAGACAAGATGATCCTTCCCATACTGGTCAAATATTATGTGTTAAAGGAATATGCTTCCTTACTTAGGCTTTTTTTAAGCATTTGCCTACAGGTGAAATGTTAACCTACATCAATTGAGGATAAAAACTTTCACCTACAAATTGACAATAACACATTTGCTGTAATCAGACATATGTAGTTGCCTCAACAATTGCAACCCCAGTTGCAATTGGGGTTGCAATTTCAAATTCTGTGGCATTACTAAAAATAGTAAAGTTTCTGGTGCACTCTAAGATTAAGAGAGAAAACGGAGGACTCAGGCGTCCTGATGTGAGAGAAAACGGACTCGTATGATGGAGACCAAGTAAAAAAAGCATAGCTACATGTTTTGTGGACTACAGTCAACCCTCGATTTACGCGGTCCCACATTCCGCGTTTCCATGTTTACGCGGTACCCTGCCGAAACCGGAATGCTCACATTCCGCGGTGCGTGTACCCCTTTACGCGGAGAGTGGCTGGCGAGCCGCGGCATTTTTGGATCCAAACCTCCCGCCATCCGCCATGTTGTGTAAGCGGCGCGAGCAGGGTACGCACAAGGTCGCCCAGTCATCAAAACATTACCGAGTTCTTCACCCGCCACCCACCACAGCCGGCCCAAGTCAGTGATAGTGATAATTATAGTGAGGATATGGACTTATATGGACTTTGAGGGGTTTGACAAAGAGGCCCTGCAAGCCTTTGTGGTGGATAGTGATACAATTGATACAAGTGATACAGGTGAGGGCCAATAATCTGCCCTCTGCCTCGGAACCAACCCCCCATCCCCGTGTGCCCAGCCATCTTTTCTACTAATGTAAGTGTTAAAAAACCTAATATTATTGATATTTCTCTTAATTATTAATTGTGTGTGCATACCATAATAAAATTAAGAAGTTATTTTTACTACAACGTAGGTATTCTGTCTGAAAAAGTGGAGTTTGGGGGTCGACCCGGTCTCTATTTCAATTAATCCCATATGTTATGTTGTTCACTTTACGCATTTCTCACTTTCCGCGGTACCCTGTGGGTTGAATTAACCGCGTAAAGTGAGGGTTCACTGTACAGCATTAAGCGGACCCTTTACATCACTTTGTAATAAACCTAGCCATGCCTATGTGTGTTTATGATATTTACCATAACATTATATACAGTCAACCCTCACTTTAAGCGGTCCCACATTCCGCGTTTCCACGTTTACGCGGTACCCTGCCGGAACCCGGGATGCTCACATTCCGCGGTGTGTGTACCCCTTTACGCGGGTGAAGAATAATTTTTTTATTTAGCTAATAAAATTCATACAAATTATCCGGCCAGAATATAATTTACATTGCTGGAATTCTTACAATTTGATGATCATTTTGAATATAAGCATCATAGATTTTGCATTAGACATACAAATTTTAGATCTAATGCAAGTATTTTGTTTACTCAGAGCAAATATGTTATCTTTTGTGCAAAATATATGAAGTGTATATTCAAAATATTCCTGGTCTTGCAAGGAATCCAGCAATGTCAATTATATTATCCTAACTTTATTC